AAAATTTTCCCTCACTTTTTTAAAGACTTTTATTTTTAGATTTACTTATTTTTACTTTAGAGAGAGAGAGAGCGGGGGGAGGGGTAAAAGGAGAGGGAGAGAAGAATCTCAAGCGGACTCCACGCTGAGCATGGAGCCTGACGCGGGGCTCAATCCCACAACCCTGAGATTGTGACCTGAGCCGAAATCAAGAGTCAGACACTGAACTGACTGAGCCACCCAGGTGCACCCCCCCCATTTAAAAAATGGAGGTAATAGCACCTACCGCTAGGCTGTTGTGAACATTAATGAGATAACACATGCAAAATGCTTGGCATGCCTCCAGCCACGTAGGGAGTGCCCCCAAAATGAGAGCCTTTGGTATCAGCACAAGGTACTGCTGTGGGTACCAGCGTCTCCGGCATGAACAAAACATCATCTTGGGGTTCATCTGCACCTAGCTTTGCTCAGTTAACACTTTCCCAAAGTCACTACTCCATATTGGGCAAATACTTTTGTCCCTTGTTTTTCAGTTGCCAGAGAGAGACGTGCGTGTATTTTCTGTACAGATCTCACCATGTTTCTGCTCCATGTTCTCTTAAACAGATTCCTGTGTCATCAGTGACCACCCCAAAATACAGATCAAGAACTCAACTTTCTGCATGACTGCCTATCCCAACTTGACAATGGTTAACTTCACCAGCCAGGTCAATAAGACATTTGTCAGTGGGAGTGAAGAGTATTTCAAGTAAGATTTTTTTTTTTTTAACTTTCTAAGGGAAACCCAGTGAATGAATGAATTTTCAAGTTGTTGTCTAGGGGTGTGTGTGGCCCAAGAGATGGGTTGCCTCCCTCTGCACCCTCCCTACCTACTTGAGTGACCCGGAAGGAAGGTTTCTTCCCTGGCTGGGCTTCTGAGAGCAGATTATTGGTCCTTGTGGTTCTGGAGAGTGGAGGTGACTGCGTGCTTTTGGGACTCGAATTGGTGCTGCTCTCACCGCTGATGTCGGTGACAGCACACTGCAAAACCTTCAGCCAGTGTGGTCCAAGCAGACCTTCAATACACTAGGTGGTGGTGTTTCTTTTTCTTCCCTCTGAACTTGAGACTGGAAGAGAGGCAAAAAGTAAGAAAACAAGTCATAGTCCATGATTTAGTTTAAAGAAGAACTAATTTTTTTTTAACGGTTTTGCCTTCCTTTTGTACTTTCTACATCCATTTTTTCCAGTCTTTGAGGATTGAGGTTCAGGAGTACAACGAAATCCTCAGCCATCATAGGAAGATTTAATAAAGTGTATGGAATGATTTCTTAAGGTAGATGAATGTGGACAGAGTTCATTGAAGGGTAAATAAGGAATGTTCTCCAGTTAAGCTTATGTTGGGGTTATAAACTCAGATGTGCTAGGGGCTTGGCAGGGAGGTTTTGAAGTATGAACAAGACAATAGGGAATGGTGGGGACTGTGGCAAACTAGAGAGCCTGTCTTCCGCGTGGGAGAGAGGTTGCTGCTGCTTAGCTCCAAATGGTCACTGTCTTGTGGGAAGGTGGGCCACTGCTGCTAGAGTTTCCATTTTAGTTTAGTTTAGTTTCGTTTTTATTTTTTATTTATTTTTTTTTTAAAAGATTTTATTTATTTATTTGAGACAGAGAGAATGAGAAAGAGAGAGCACATGAGAGGGGGGAGGGTCAGAGGGAGAAGCAGACCCCCCGCCGAGCAGGGAGCCCGATGCGGGACTCGATCCGGGGACTCCAGGATCATGACCTGAGCCGAAGGCAGTCGCTTAACCAACTGAGCCACCCAGGCGCCCTAGTTTAGTTTTTAAAGATTTTATTTATTTGAGAGAGAGAGAGCACAAGCAGGGGGAGGGGCAGAGGGAGAGGGGGAAGCAGGCTCCCCGCTGAGCACGGGGATCTGGGATCACGACCTGAGCCGAAGACAGACGCTTCGCCAACTGAGCCACCCAGGCGCCCCACTTTTAGTCAACTCCTGAGCCCAGGTTGCCGCAGGGGTTGAGACAGAAAGGAGCATGGCTGTTGTAAAATGCATGACGGTGCCCTGCCGGGCAGCCTCCCAGGTACGCACTCGCTAGCGGGCTGGAGGGCGCTGTTGCCAGCGAGGCCAGGAGTGGTGCCACCTTCACGTCCCTCTGTAGGTCAGAATGTTCTGGGCTGCCGTTTCTGCAGTCCCGTAGAGTCTGGATTCTGGCCGGCCCTTTGTTCAGGTCACAGAAAAACGCCAAACTACAGGCACGGTGCCTGCATCCAGGATGAGGGAGCTGATCCTTGAGGAGCTAAAGGGATTGTCTGAGTCACGACTCCATGTCCCCACGACTGCCTCCTGTCCCCAGGAGTGTGGCTGCTTGCTTGCCGTGCTACCAGGCTACAAGCTACCCTCCGGGGTGTGGGGGCTGCCAGGCAGGCCACGGCTTCTCGAGCAGATACACAGATGACCAGCAGCCCCCTTCTGCTTGCATGTTCTCGGTCTTGGACTACATTCCTTGAATAAGGGCCAGGCAGCCCTGCTTTTCCATTTCAGCCAACCTCAGCCGGGACACGTACCCAACGGCAACTGGAACTGAAGTACAGAGAGCAGCAGTTTTAGTCACTGAGCACAGTGTCTCTGTTTTTCACATTTAAAAGTATACAAATACAATTGGGATACAGCCTCTTAAAAGATTAGAACATTACAGAAAAAACACAAAAATCATCCTTGACAGTTCAGAGTCCGTATTAGTGGTGTGCCCTTAGAGAAAGACGCCAGCCTCGGGAGTGCCTGTTGGCAGACTGGGCCAGGACCCCCAATGCTGTTGGACTTGTCACGCTTGTCCTGGGGCAGCTCCAGATGCCAATGGAGCTAACTTAGCCTTGTTCAGAGGCTGCCCAGGGCTACGAGAGGCTTCCCAGCACGTAATTAGGAACTGGGTAAATCCAGCTGGCCTTTTTGCTGACAACTGTGGGCTCAAACTCAGATCAGAGCATCCCTCACCCTGATCTCATAAGGTCCCTAACTGGGGCGGTGAGGAGGGCTGGGGTTTATTCAAGTCTCCTGGCTCTGCTGGGAGATGAAAGGCTGCAGACTGTCACCTCCCTCCCTCCTCATTCCCCCTGCTACTCTCTCTTTCCAATTCTTAGGTACTTTGTGCTGAAGATTTCTGCTGGAATTGAATATCCTGGGGAGATCAGGTGGCCACTAGCCTTCTGCCTCTTCCTGGCTTGGGTGATTGTGTATGCGTCCCTGGCAAAAGGAATCAAGACTTCAGGAAAAGTAAGAACTTTTATTTATCTAAAAAAAAAAAAAATCTCTGGGACCCCCAGGGATGGTTGTGTCATGTAGCCACAAAAGAGCCTTGGAAAGAGAGTCAGGACACATGGGGGTAATTCTGACTCTGACCCTGAGTAGCTCTGGGACCTTGGGCAAGTGACTTCACTCCCACCTGTAAAATGAGATAATAACACCTTTCTTTCAGGGCTCTTTTAAGGACCAAATGAGACAAATGCACACAGAGCTCCCAAGGGAAGGTGTGGGTCTTGATTAGATTCCTTTCTGTCCTGTCGGGGACCGCCGCTTCATTCAGCAGATGGGCCCCGCGTCCTATGATTCTGTCACTCTCCCTAGGCCCCAGAATTAGAGCTACTGGCTTTTTGCTTCTTGGCCTGGCTGCCCAGTCAGTTATTGCTTCTGCCGAGAAGCTGGAAAAAGACCAAAATTGTGAATTGGAAAAAGACCAAAATTATGAATTGGATTCCTTCTCATTACTCTCGCCACCATGTTCTGGACTTTTCACGCCCTTTTTGCAACCCCCCCAGCCCAACACTCTTCCACTTCATGTGCGCAGAGCCCTCCATGGTGACAGTCCTGCCAGTGGGATTTTGGCTGAGCAAAGACTTGGCCACTCTTGCTGAGCAGTCGCTTGGCGGGCCCTTTGGAGAGGTTGGAATTCCCACCCCAGGCTCAGTTCCAAGGCACAGAAGGCAAGGAGTCTGGGAAAGCTCAGGGCATGCTGGACATTCTTGTAAGGGTCACACTGTTTTCCCTCATCTTCCTGCTGCTTTAGCAAAAAACCCCATTGAATAGTTAGCTGGTCAGTTGATGATAACCAATATTATTTAATCATCCTAAGAGTTATTTGCATGGCTCGGGATGAAACCCAAGATGTCTTTCAGGCCAAGGAGTGAGCATGACGGTGGTGGACTCAGACCTGAGGTTGTGGTATTGATTTGGTCTAGGTGTCCCAGCCGGCATCTCATACCCCCCACCAGGTGCCCAAACCTGGCACCCTTCAGCACAGAGCTGAGTCTGTCCTCTCCCTGGGCACATGGCTGTGCTCATAGGTGCCTTTGGATAACAGCTCTTTCTGCTGCCTGCCCTGTAATCTGGAGCCTCAGGGACTTGAGTTGTGGGCTCCAGCAGGATTGTCAGCATTACAAGAGGCAGGGGTTACACCTCAAATCACATAAGGTTGGGGGAGAAGCAGACTGGGGGTGAGGAGCTGGGTTCTAGTCCAGGGCTTCCCCTGGGCTTTGCTGAGTAGGGACATCTCTACCTGGGCCATGAAGCCTGGCTGAGCTTCTGATTTGCTCTTAGCTTTTATTTGTTTTTCTGCTACAATGAAAAGCAAAACTTCCTTTATCCTCACTATTGCAGAAGTCTTTAGTTTCCCCATTTCTAAAATAAAGGCAATCAGGCTGGGTGATGTCTAAGATGCTGTAGCTCTAACGTTATTCTGTCTAAACACTTGCTGGGTGAGCTGATCTTAGTTTTCCTCTCTGACCTCAGTTTCCTCATCTGTAAAATGAGAGCTGGGATCAGATGACCTCCGAGGACCCCCTGCTGGCTCTGAATGAGTGGTTAAGACTAGATTGTTTTTGTTTTTAAATTTTATTTATTTATTTGACAGAGAGAGACACAGCGAGAGAGGGAACACAAGCAGGGGGAGCGGGAGAGGAAGAAGCAGGGAGCCCGGTGCGGGGCTCGATCCCAGGACCCTGGGATCATGACCCGAGCCGAAGGCAGACGCTGAACGACTGAGCCACCCAGGCGCCCCAAGACTAGATTGTTTTTTGAAGGCAGCAAGAAGATGGGGGAAATGTTGAGATGACCCTTACAACAATGGCCTGTGCGTCCTGGGGTTCCTGGACTCCTTGCCTTCTGTGGCTTGGAACCCAGCCAAGTGCTTGCTTAGCAAGAGTGGCCAAATATTTGCGCAAACAAAATCTCACTGACAGGACTGTCGCTTACAACTCGAGATAGAGGCAGGGCAACCTTGACCGTGATTGACATGCCAGATAGGTCTCTAGCAGACAGGTCTCTAGCAGGATAGGCAAGGGGGGGGTGACTGCAGGAGAGGAGATGGTAGTTAAGGAGGGAGAACAGTGGTCCCATCGGTGACCTGGGGAAGGATGGCCTGCTGGCTCTAGAATTAAATCAAACTGCGTTCAAATCCTGCCTTTAACTCTTTCTCATTGTGTAACTCTGGACAGACTATTTGACCCACAGAGCCTCAGTTTCTGCATCTGTAGATTGGGGATAGCGGTACATACCACATGGGATCATTATAGGGATTAAATGAGATCCGCCACATACAATACCTGGCATATGGTCAGTTCTTCGCTAGCATTAGCTTTTTTCTGATGACGAATGACTGATGTATTGGGTGGGCACTGCGCCACTCTGACATCTTGAAAGCAGCAACTCTGGTGGGGAGATGGGGAGAGAAAGGGAGCCTTGTTGAACACCAGGTGCCCGGCGCTGAGCTAACTGCGATGCATGCATCAGTTCACCTACCTGCACAACAGTCCACTAAGTAAGGACATTTGTTCCCATTTTGTAGATAGAGAAAGTGAGGTGCATCCAGGCAGAGTAAATTGCCTGAGGCCACACAGCTTTTAAGTGGCAGCGGTGGGATTTGAACCTAGGTCTGTTTCCCTTTAAAGCCTGGATTCTTTCCTCTACCTGACATCCTTTCCCCAGGAGGGGCCGTTAGGAAGAGATGGAAATGCAGAACTGTGGAGTCATTTTTTGCATGGGGGGGGGGAGGGAGAGAAAAGTCCCCCCACTGGGAGCCAGCACCCTGGCGTCCCTACCCCCTCTCTACACCACCAGCTGTCATTGCCAAGTGGGCAAGTCACAGAAGGCATTGGGGCCTCATTTCCCACATCTACAGACTCAAGGTAGAATGAATGTTCTCTCAGACCCTTTTAGCTTTATTAGTCCGTGATTTTTTTAGGACAGTGTTACAGCTAGTTCTTTCCATTGATTTAGGATTTAATCCTTGGTGCTAGATTTTACAGGCTTTCTGGTATGGGAACTTTCGAGGAGCCCTGGGCAGGTAAGCTTTTCTGTTAGTTCTGCTAACTAATCATGCTGCTTCATTGAGAATGGTTGCCAACTAAGGATCAATGATCAATTTTTTTTTTTTTAATGAGGAATGCCACCAGAAATCGTGAATCACAATTTGTTATCTTGCCCTGGGGTGTGCAGACAGTGGTCATGGAGCATTGTTTGGAAGCCAAGGTCAATGCACGGCTGAAGCTCCTCATTCCGACAGGCCCCTTTTGTGACTGAGAGCCCATGAAGACGGTCAGACTGTCATTTCGAGGCAACAGAGACGTCCACCTTCTCCTGCAGCAAGATGAGCTCAGTTCCTCTCGTGTGGGACCCTAGGAGACGAGAATGGCCTGTTGCTTCTTATGAGACCTCAGTTTCCCTTTGAGCAGCTAGAATTCCAGGGACAGGGGCGACCAGCAGGCCACCCGAATGTCAGATGCACCCATCTGAGCTCAGGGCCCGCGCTGCCTGGGGGTTATGGCAACAACACAGAGTTAACCTAACCAGCTAGCACAGGCTGGTGGGACCTTACCTTCCCAGCTGTTCGGAGCTCCCACTGTGAGGAGGATGCTGCCAGGTGTCAGGCCAGCAGGCTCAGATCAACTAGTCACTGTCACTCCTGCCAAATAGAACTCATTACTGTTCGCTCTTAATTCCTCTGATAATACATCCTGAAACAAGCGCATTCTAAAGCCCCCCAGCCCCCCAACACAAGCTGTGCATGAAGCCGCTATGTACACCTGACTCACATTTGACTATAAATCCCCAGGGTTTATAAACCAAACCGTGGGCCCTTTTAGTTCATCAGGATCACCATCTACAAAGTGAGTGCATCATCCCACACGCCAGGGCCTGGACCTGGGTGGGGCAGGCAAGTGCCTAGGGTGGCAAAATTTAAGGAGACATTCACTCTCAGGCTCCTGCAAGTGTGGGGTCAGCCCCTGAGAGTGAGTGCCTCCTTCAATATCGTACCCTTAGTGCTTCACTTGCCTCACCCTAGTCCCAGCTCTGCCCCACCCATTTCTGATCACATGGCCTGCAGAGTGGCCCTGCTGGAAAGAACAGAGGCTTTGGAATTAGAAAGCCTTAGGTTTGGATCTTGGCTCCAGCTGGGAGACCTTGAGTAAGATGTTTAACCCCTTGTGACATACGTAATTGGAGTCTCAGTTTCCTCTTCTGCAAAATGGGACAACTCACAGCTGACCCATAGAGGGAGCTCCAGAAATGGTTGTGTGCTAGCAGGCTCCGGTAGGCAGATGAGAACAGGTGTCTCAGCCGGGTAGACTGGTGCCATTCTGGTGGTTTTCTTCTGCCGGCCCCTGCTGCCCGGGTCACCTCTTCTCCCTTACCTCCTCCCATCCTCACTTCCCACCAGCCCTCATGGTCAGGAGGTGAAAAGGATATTCCTCCATTGTCACCTGCCCTACTGTCTTGGTGGGGTGGGGAGGTCAGAATGGTCAGGATCTCCTCTCCCTCCTATCACAGCCGGGAGGCCAGCCCAGGGCTGTCCTGGGGTGGTGATCTTCTCCTGAGATGTCAAATGCCTTTGGGTTTCCCAAGGTCTGTGTGCGGAAGGGTTTCGCTTCAGGGGAAGGAGAGGCAGGTTTGGGGGGATGGGGAGGAGGGGGCTGCCCTCCCCCACAGCCCCAAGTAATCACATTCTCTAGGAAGGGCGGCAGGGGGCCACAGGGGCCCCCTGACCAGAGGCGGTAGCAGTGCAGAGAAAGGAGACCCGCCGGTCCCTGCTCTGTAGCCAGAAGGAAAGACTTGACCTTGATGGTAGGTGGGGTTTAGAGGAAGAAACGGCGGCTCCTGTTTCCTTAACCTGCAGCCTGGTGCAGTGGGAACTCTACGCTTTTCAGCTGCTGAGGCCAGACACGTTGGGCCGATCCCTGATGCCCCCTTGCCCCTCATTCCACATGGAATCATCAGGAAATTCTGTAGCTCTTCCAGCAGAAGCATATCCCCGTTGGAGGTGTCACTGTCCCTTGCCGGGTGTACAGCCCAGCCTCCTGACTGTTGTCCCTGCACCCCCTTTTGCGCCCCTGCAGTATACCCCCAGCGAAGCAACCCCTGCCAGTTGAAATGTCAGATCCTGTTACCCCTCCGCCCAAATCACTTCAGTGGTGGCCCATGTCCCACAGAAAAGGCCCCACAAGGCTCCGCATGATCTGTCCCCACTCCCCACCCCCACCTCTCTGACTTCCTCTCCTTCCTGTGCTCCCTCCAGCCACACTGGCCTCCTCCTTGCTGTTACTACAAGTCAGGGACACTCCCTCCTTAGGGCCTTTACTCCAGCGGTTCCCTCTGTCTAGACTGTTCTCCCACATATCCAGTTGGGGCCCTCTTACTTCCTTCAAGTCTTGGCCAACTTCTCAAAGAGGCCTCCCCAGCACGCCCCCACCCCCCTTTACCCCGCTCTACTGTCTCTGTTTCCCAGTGCACTCATTACCCTCTAACATGCCACAGATAATAGGATTGGGACCACTACTGGCTAGCTGTCTCCCTAGCTGGAATGTCAGCTCTTCGGGGGCAAGCGTCTTTGTGGTGTTTACTGATATACCCAAATGCTTAACGAAATGACCCCTAGAGTTCTATCTTAGTCTCAATCCTGACCTTCCCTCAACCCACCTCTGCAAGTCCCAGAACCAGTCCTCGTCCCCTGAAAACCCAGTGCCTGCCAGTCACAGCCATTCTGGAGCTCCCTGCCAGGCCCTGGGGTCTGTGGAGCCAGTGTGGGGTGACACCTGTGTCTCCCTCCCAGGGGACAGGTGTTCAGGTGCCCCAGGAGGGAAGACTGCAGGGGGGAGTGTGGGAACGGGTGGCTCTGAGCCCACAGTGCTTGCCCAGCTGGCTGTATACACCCACCTCAAGGATCAGAGAGGGTTTGGGGAGAGCCGAGCCTCACCTTTGCAAGGTCTTTTGATGACTTTGGGGGATTCAACTGGCTGGTGAGCAGAGGGCTGTCAGTGTTACCAAATTTAGGCGTGGCGAATCCCGGGCAAGCCTAACGTGGTGCTTCTGTGGCCAGGCCCCCAGACCTGTCCCATTCTGTGTGAACTGTCCCAGGCACTCCTCCAAGAGTTCCACGAGGAATATACTGTCATTATCGCCACTTTGCCGGTGTGGACACTGAGACTCAGAGAAGCGAAGTCATTTCCCAGGTGGCCCAGCTCATAAGTCATGGGCCTGGGATTCGAACTCAGGCTTGTAGGATGGGATCCTGATCCCAAGCTCTTCCTTTACCCAGATGTTTGATTGACAGATAAGTCCCATCCAGCCACAGTCCCCAAGTTCTGCTGATGTTACTCCCCAAATGTGTCTCGACTCTGGTCTCTCCCAGGAGGGAATCCAGGAGCATCCAGGATCCAGAATCCAGGAGCATACTTTGACCAGTATTCAAGGCCTCCCATGGTGTACCCAACGTGCTTCAGTAGCTCCCTATTTCCCACAGAAAAGGCCCATGCCCCTAGGGCCCCCCATCACTCTTAGCCTCCACCCTATGTCATCCTAATAGTGGGTCATCAGACCTTTGCCCTCATATGCCTGCCTTGCCCACTTTGCTCCTCCACCTTCCACCTCCCCCCACCTCCCTTAAGTTGTCCTTGGCCTCTAAATCCGGCTCAGGTGTCATCTCTGTGAATCTTTTCATAAACTCCCAGGTTGAGTAGTACAATGCCCCTCTGGACTTCATAGTGTCCTGGGTGCACTGGTGTGGCCCATTAAGCAGACATCGTCTCTGGGACCTCTAGGTCCTGAATCCCTTCATCTTTATGCATCTAACACCTGGCACAGCATCCAGCTCAGAGCAGGCCGTCAATAAATGCTTGTTGAGCTTACCTGCATTGAATGACCATCTATTATAAATCAGGCTATGTTAGTAGCTCATTAACCCACACAATTATTTTTTTAAGAAAGGTGTCATTGTGCCCAGTTTCCAGAGGCAGAAGCAGATTTGAAGAGCTTATTAGCTTGTCGAAGGTCTCACAGCTACCCAGTGCCAGATGTGTGATTTCATTTGAACTTAAATGTTTCTTTTATTATTATTATTTTCAAGATTTTATTTATTTTAGAGAGAGAGAGAGCATGCATGAGTGGGGGGAGGGGCAGAGGGAGAGGAAGAGAGAATCTCAAGCAGACTCCCCGCCGAGCATAGAGCCTGATGCGGAGCTTGATCCCACGACCCTGAGATCATGGCCTGAGCTAAAAATCACAAGTTAGACGCTTAACCACTGAGCCACCCAGGCAGCCCTAAACTTAAATGTTTCTAAGATCTTGCTCTTTGCACCTCACCAGGCTGCCTCGCTTAGGGTGTCTGTATACACAAGGATGGAGAGCTTAAGCTAAAAGGTTCATCTCTAATGGTGGATTTGGGGTCCTCAAGCAGAGGGTGGGGTCGGAGTTGGGGAGGAGGGAGGCATGTAGCCTTCTTCCCTGGGTAGTTCCTCGGGGAGCTGTCTCCTCCGCAGCTGGGGTGGGTGGGGTAAGGTCGCCCCCACCTTCCGCACTGCAGCCAACTCCCCCACAGCCTTGGATATCGCCCCACAGACTTTATTTCTGGTTCTCCCTGCCCTTGGGTCCCAGGGCCTGCCCTGTGCCCCCAGCCCTGGCAGAGTTGGGGGAAACCTGATGTCCTCACGGTCAGACGCTCGTGTCCAGGTGGCAGATCGCTCTGCCTCTGTCGATGTCCCTGCAGCAGGGGCACGTCACGCGGGTCAGTCACTCTTTCGGATGGTTCTTCCAGGTGGTGTACTTCACGGCCACGTTCCCGTATGTCGTGCTCGTGATCCTCCTCATCCGCGGAGTTACCCTGCCCGGAGCCGGCGCTGGGATCTGGTACTTCATCACACCGAAGTGGGAGAAACTCACGGATGCCACGGTGGGCTTATGCTTTCATTTACAACCCAGGGATGAGTCCCGCTCTGGGACAGCTCAACAAGAGGGGTCAGACTCCTTCCCGCAGCGTAGCTCGCTGTTGTTCCCTTATCCAAGGTCCTGATAATCTCGGGCCATTGTGCCCTCGGGAGATCTTTCATGAGAAGTGGGCAGCTGGGGGTGTTCTGACTCCTGGAGTAGTCATCCTCCGTCGTGGTCCTGCCCCCAGGGCTGCCGTGCAGGCTGAAATGAAGAAGGCCATCTCCGTATTCATAGCATTGGGCCCCTCACACCACTCATCTGGTACTAATTACAGGGTGTTGGGAATGGTGTTTTGCTGGTGGAAAATAAGAGCACAAACCACGGCAATTATCACTGAAAGGGCCCGATGCATTTGCAGCCGTGTGGCTCACCAACGCGGAGCCAGCGCACGCTTGTACCTCCTCTTCGCCCATCGGTGCAGGCATACCTTACTTTAAAATTCCCAGTCCCCAAACCTCCGATGAGGGGGTTCTTTAAGCAGTGAATTTTTTCACCTTAAAGAAAAATCACTTTTGGGGAGCCTGGGGGGCTCAGTTGGTTAAGTGACTGCCTTCGGCTCAGGTCATGATCTCAGGGTCCTGGGATCGAGTCCCGCGTCGGGCTCCCTGCTTGGCGGGAAGCCTGCTTCTCCCTTTCCCACTCTCCCACTTTCCCTCTCTCGCTGTCTCTCTCTGTCAAATAAATAATTAAAATCTTAAAAAAAGAAAAACTCACTTTTACAGGGTACATTGAGAACACATAGCTTGGATTGGGTTTGACTGCACCTAACAGAAAACCCCCAGATGATGACAGCGGGAACAAGATAAAAGTTTATTTCCCTCGAATGCGCTCAAGTGGTCCCCAGGGTACATAGTGAAGCACTCCACATAGTGAAGGCTCCACAGTGTCCCAGCCTCCCAGCTTCCCGTCCTCAGTCACTCGCTTCCAGATGGTTGCCAGAACTCCTGCCATCACAGCAGCATTCCGGGTAGCACAAAGGGGTGAGGAAAGAGGTGGAAATAGAGGTACCCTCCCTCTCTTTAAAAAAGGAGAAACCCCAGAAATCCCACATTACACTTGTTTTTTCACATCATTGGTCAGAAACTAAATCATGTGATTATCCTCTCTTAGCTGCACTTCCCCTTGATGCTATGTGCTGGGTGAATGGCTGCCTTTAAAGAAAACCATGGCTTTGTTACTAAGGAGTATGGGAGAATGGGTGTTGGGGTAAGTGCAGACTTGCCAGCACACAGCACGCACTTGAACTTTCTCTTTGCATATTATAAGCACAATTTTAAAACTGGACTAATTTATAAAAATGATGGGAGGTCTATTTTACAAATCATATAAATCTCTAGCGTAACTCCTGAGCAGCCTTCTGGAGTTTTACAAGGACAATGCAGAGAAATCACCGAGAGAACCAGGAGACATTGTCGGCCAAGTTCGAGAAGGATGTGGCTATAAGATCCACTGCGCTTTGGCCCAGGTGGTATTGCTAAGGGGGGAGCTGTAGGACTTCAGATTTTTAATAGCAGTTGACGTCTGTAAGAATGTCAGTGTAAGCAGATCTTTATCTTGCATCCATGACTGTATTTTGCTGCTGCGGTGGTCTTTTGAGAGTGTGTGCAGCGAAAGGAAGGGCTCCTCCCTTCTGCTCAGCTTTATACATGGCAGGACACAGAAGCAGGAAATGTGTGTGTAGTTTGAGTTCCTGTCCTTTGCTTAGAATGGAGTTAGCATCTCCCAGGTAGTTTCCTGCCTTTTTGGCTTCCAGCACAAATGATGTATGTTGGTGCTAATGTCACATCTTTCTCCTGACTACCTTTCCCCTGGGGGGAGACCCCCCCCCCGGGCCAGCCTCCTTCAGTGACCTTGGATCTTCTCCCCTTTGGCCTCCCAGGTCTGGAAGGATGCTGCCACTCAGATTTTCTTCTCTTTGTCTGCCGCGTGGGGAGGCCTGATCACTCTCTCTTCCTACAACAAATTCCACAACAACTGCTACAGGTATGCGGAGGCACTTGATATCCCAGAGGCAGCTGGTGAGTGGGAATAAGAGCTGGGGACAGATCCATGGACACCTAAGGCCACATCCTCACACTTACCCTGAAGTAGAGCCAGAGGGCTGCGTCTGGCAGAGGGAAAGCCACCCGCTAGGGCCTAGCTGCTGGCTTCTGGTGGCCTGGACCCCAGCTTGCAGTGCTGTCTCTGACACATGGGCTCAGGGGCTCTTTATGGGCTGGAGCTGAGCCTCTCCAGGGGTTGCTATGCTGCTGGCTGTGTCCTGGGATAGTCATTTGTGAGCTGTGGATATGATCGGATGGCAGTCCCAGGTGAAGTATGGTCACTGTCACTTGACAAATATTTTTCCAGAGACCCCTATAAGAAAGACAGCAAGGTACAGGGGAAAGAAAACTGTTGATGGATATGTTAACTAATGGAAATGTTAGTAGATGTGGTGGGGTCCCTCTCACGATGTGTATGAGTATCGAATCATCAGGCTGTACGCTTTAAATACATTACAGTTCGCATTCGTTGTTATACTTCAGTAAAGCTGGGAAAACAATGCGAAATTTGAGCCCCCTTCCAGATCTGTTAATCAGAAGGTGGGGTGGGCCCGGGAATCTACATATCCAGATGGGATCCCCAGGAGATCCTAATACATGGTGACAGTGAGAACATTTGGATGGTGTGATATTAGACCAGGGGCTCTGCAACCCCAAAGACCTCCACCTGGGAGAACCTGACAGCTTCTGGAGGAGGTGACATCTGAAAGTTAAATACATCTAGGCAAGCAATAAGAAAATAAGGTCCATTCTCCTGGTGAGTGGATTTAAAATAGGAAGGGAGGGAGGGAGAGAAGGAAGGAAGGAAGGAGGGAAGGAAGGAAGGCAGGCAGGCAGGCAGGCCAGAGTCAGATGGACCTGGATTTGAATTATGACTTTACCATTTACTAAAACTCGAGACATGGGCAAGATACTTCACTTCTCTGAGCCTCTTTCCTCTCATCTTTAAATTGCCGATGATAACAGTTTGTGGAGAGGTAAGAACTGATGTATGCAAAGTTCGCACAGCAGAATTTCACATGTCATAGGTACTCAATAAATGGCAGCTGCCATCATCATCATTATTATTATTATCATTTTCTAATAATGTATGAGCTATTTTGTGCACCAAGAGGAACAGAAGATAGTTAGGCTGTGATCTGAGCCGGCTGGGATGGCTCCAGAGAGGTGAGGTCTCCGCGGGGCCACATCCCAGCATGTGCAAGGGAGGTGGGAGTGTATGACACGTGGCGGGGACAGCCAGCAGGGGGCGTGAGTGGGAAAGTGCTGGGGATAGGGGGGTGGGAGCAGATCCGGGGACCAGAGCGGGAGTGCGCGCATGAGACTGGAAGGAATTGGGCCGAGCTCGGCTGAGACCAGGTTGGAGAGAGCGTGTGTCTGAGCTTGCGAGGGCTGCTGTAACAAATACCACGGAGCGTGGGACCTGAACAATGGACACTCAGTTTCTCACAGTTCTGGACACTGAAGTCCGAGATCGAGGTGTTGGCAGGGTTGATTTCTTCCCAGTCTTCTCTTTTTGGCTTGTATGGCCATCTCCTCCCTGCGTCTTCACATGGTTTCCCTCTGGGTGTGTATCTGTGTCCTCATCTCCTCTTCTTGTAAGAACACCAGTCGTGTCGGATGAGGTCCCACCCTGAGGACGGCCTTTTAACTTATTTCCCTGTGTAAAGACGCCATCTCCAAACACAGTCATATTCTGAGGAACTGGGGGTTAGAATGTCAACACAGGATTTGGGGGGCACACAATCCAGCCCCTAACAGCTGGAATGCCAGATAAGGTGTGTGGACTTCTTTGGTCACAGCTGCTCATTAATTTATGACCCAGGAACCGGTCTGAATGCAGTCCAACGGGGTCGCATTGCTCTGCACTTTGGTAGAAAGGAGACTCTGTGGTGTGGCAGGGAGTCTGGATTCAAATCCTGACCCATCATGAATGAGCCCATTTCCTCCTCCCGTGCCTCAGTTTCCTCATCCGTAAACTAAGGGGCCAGACAAGGTGGGTGGTTTACTGAGCACTCGCTCTGTGCCAGGCTCTGCTCACAACAACCTGGGAGAAAGGTGGGGTCAGTGCCACCACTTAAAATCACAGTGGAAAGAACTGACTTGCTCAAGGTCATACCAACAGGTGGGAGGATCAGGATTTGAATGGTCTCTGAGGCCCCATCTGGCTTGACCTCTCTTCCCAGTCTAGGGTGGCCGGACAGGCCGACTGGGAAACCACAGCCATATCACCAGTAGAGGGTGCCAGGGTGAAGGCAGAGGGCTGGTCTCCCCTGCCTCACCCCCGGGGCTTTTGGGGGCTCCAAATCCGGGCTGTCCTCAAACCTTGGCGGCCTTTCATGGTCCCACCGCGTTCTCTTCTCTCATATATGGTTCCCGTCCTGGAGTCCTTGAAAGGCTCCACCCCCTCCATTTCTGCTCAGATGGGCAGTCCTGCTCTGCCACTTTAATGAGAGGGGCCCTGGTTCTAGAGTGCACGGGGCTAGAGCTCTGACCCAGAGGCCCGGCAACAGGGAGGTCCCGAGAAATGTTTTTGAGCCCTTTGGTGCTTAGAAAATCGACCCAAGGGGGCCTTCGGTCAGGACAGTGAAAACGTGTTTAGAAATGGACATGTACACACACACACACATGTGCATACGAACACACAGGCACACATTTACATGTCTTTCCCCTTGCCCCTTCCGACTTGCAAAGCATACCTAATGGCAAACTCTCGTCTCCTCCGCCCAGGGACACGCTCATTGTAACCTGCACCAACAGTGCCACGAGCATCTTTGCCGGCTTCGTCATCTTCTCGGTTATTGGCTTCATGGCCAATGAACGCAAGGTCAACATTGAGAACGTGGCAGACCAAGGTACGGTCACCTCCTGAGCTCCTGACCTGTGCTATCTTGGGAAGCTGGCCTTCTGGAATAGGAGGGAGGGTGGGACAACCCAGGGTCCCTTTGTGGGGAGACTCCGACAAGCTTGCGTAGGAAGCTCAGGTGGGGTTAGAGCTGGCCAGTGCCCAACCAGAGGGATTGCTCTAGAAGTCCCATTCCTGCTTCCCTCTCCTCTCCTTTGTCTTCCCTTTCTTAAGTCAGCTCCACCCCGAATAAGTAAGCTCTATACCTATTGCACCTGTGAGGGACAGATTCTTTAGGATCCTTTAGAGCTGGTGTGGGCACAGCCCGCTGCAGGATGCATTCCTTGCAGAGAGCTCTGGACCCACCCAGTTCTAATGCTGACCAGGAACACTGACTCCAGAGCAGCCTTTTCCTGACAAGCGTTTTCTGTTGGTTAGGTCAAAAGTGCTCTCAGGGCCTTCTGCTTAGTTAGCAAAGCAGACCTGCAATCTTTCTTCCCCGCAGTGGGTGGAAAGGTTGGATGATGGCGGTGGGAGGGAAGTACCATAAAGGTTCCTTTCCATCCAGGTGATCCCTGTGTTAATGGCTGACATTTGTATGGTACTTTCGAGTTTACAGAGAGCTTTCATTTTTTATCTCACTTCGTCTGTATTTCTAGCACAGCATTTTGTAGGCGGTGTTTAATATTTTTGTTTAACTCTTTCTTATTTCCACCCAGCCTTACTCCACGAAGGGTTTGGGTGTTTACTATGTTTCTGGGCTGAACGGATTTCACTGTGGCTGTCGCCTGTTATTATGATCATGCTCTAATCAGGTGTTTATGGGATGCCTCGGTGCCAGGACCGGGCCAGGGACGTGTGGGGACGTGACAGTCCACCGTGCGTCCCTGTGAGCAGCTTCTCTGGGCCTTTACCTTCGTTCGAGGAGCTCACTGCAGTTCTCAGAAAATGGCTCGGATGGCAGCCCAGGAGGGAGCCAAGTCCTAGGAATGTCACCTTCTTGGTGGGCTGCCGGCTTTCCGCTGGCTCCCCAGGGATAATTAATTATGGCTTCAGGATTTGAAGCTGCTGCTGGTGCGCAGCGGGCCTCAAAGAGTTAAGAACTGGCGTATGGCAGGGGGGTAATTACCTCTCCCTGGAAAGAGTGTTAAAGCCCCAGGGATGTTTGGTTTTGCAGTGCTGCATTAAATTGGCGTTTGGGAGTGAAGGCCCTTCCCTGGTTGAGAATGCTCAACTCCCTGGGGAGCAGGGGGGGAGGGGGGGGAGGGGAGGGGAGAGAAGGCCTTGTCTTCGGGGGTGTCTGTGCCACCCCAGCTGTCCTCATTTCCTCCCAGCAGAGTCGCTGGGGCAGGGAGGTCCTGCCCCACTTTCCAGCAGATCTGAGGTGTTTGTGATTTTTGTGACATTACGGCCGAGCTCACTGTGAGCCCGTGGCCGTGTTGCCGGGTTATGAGTCCTGAGATGTGGGGCCACTTGAGTTCACTCTGCTGAACTCCTTCCTGCCCCAGGAAGGGGAGTTGGGGGCACATGTCTCTAAAACCCAAATAGGATTTCGTGTTTCCTATACAAAGAAAGACTAAGACGATTGCTTGGGTGCCTTTCTGAAACGTCCCCTTTCTGGGTTCTGTTCACTTCCTCTAATTTAAATGGGGAGGAGAACACTTCCTACAGGTTCTGATCCCTTGTTAGGTTAGCGTGTGGCAGTTTTTCATCATCACCAGCACAGGGACGGGGGGGGGGGGGGGG